GGGGTATTCTTATTAGAATCTGAACACTGTTCATATCTCTGAAACTGCATACTGAAAACTTAAAACACATTAAATGCTTCAGTAAATGCAGCCATGTGAGCATTGCACAGGTTCCCCATTTGCACATATGTATAATCCTTTACATATTAATTAGCAATCAAACCAACAGATGAATCTGATGCTTGAGTTGTTTCATTTAAAAAGCAGTGTTGCAGTCTTTGGCTGGGTTGCAATACTCTGCCAAGGCACACAAGAAAAAAAAAAAAAAAAAGACCACAACGGACTTTGTAAATCCTCTATGGTAAGAGCAAATAACCAAAGCAAGAGCATAACTGCCATAAATTACCTCCAAGTGTGGTGTGTCCATGCACCAGAGGGATGCTGAACAACTGGTGTCCAGGTGCCATGGAAACAACTTGGAAATGAATATACTGACACTGTGAGGCTGGCACAAGACATCAGGAAACATTCCTTCCACCTCCCCTCGGCTCGGTTGTAAACATGGACACAACACATCATGCAAATTACTGGGCTCGACTACTACCCAAAAGATCGCAAATGGGCCAAGAACATCACATCTGTTACTGTGAACGAACACCAGCACAGACCTCCTGCACCACTGCAGCAAAACCAATTTTTATACAGTCTTTAAACAGTTTGCACTGAGCCATTTCCCATTGAGCGTAGTCTGGTTTCGGACTGCATCTGTCCAGGATAATTTGTGTTAAATTAAAGAAAATCAAAGCTTTGTACTGTTTGTACTTAGCAGTGATGTTTTAAATGCAAAGCACATCCTAGAAAAAAAAAAAAAACGTTCTATGGTGCATATGTTCAAAAAAGGTATCAGGATGTACTCTCTTAACTACTTCCCAAGTAACCTTTCTTCACTGAGTAGTAAAACATGTCTGTTCCCTTTCTTTTGTGTCTGCAACAGTAACATAAATTGGAATGCAAAAGATCTCTGGTATTTAGGTACAAGGATCTCTTCATATACATTACCCAGCTGAACTCCATTTTCACAGTTCAAACTAGATGTGGGTGATATGGAAAAAAAAATCATCCATTTTTTTCAGGCAGTTTCACAATCCATGATCTTATCAAAAAAAAATATTCATAAAAGAAAAAAAAGACTGATAAGACATACAAGTGTTTGTTCTTACAATCGCAGCAGCTGTTTTAATAAAATTTGTAACTACTTTTTTTTTCTACCAAATATTTTAGCTTCACAAATTAGGATCATAATAATTCAATAAATGTTTAAATCAACAAAATATTAAAAAATATAAATATATATATATATATATATATATATATATTACTTATCTTATTAAGTAAAGTCTAATTTAAATGTGCACTCTGATTTAATTATGTTGTCTTCTTAATAATCATTATCGCCGTCTTTCATCTAAAAATATATGCTTGATTAATAGTCATTTTTGTATTAATTTGGGTACAATTTATGTTTAATATGTGCAACAAATTATATTTGCTAGCTGACAATTATTATAATTGCTACAATTAACTAATAATTTACTGCTTATTAATATTATTAAGGTAGTTGTTAAGTTTAGGTATGGAATAGGATTAAGGGATCTAAAATATGGTCATGCAGAACAAGGCATTAATACGTGCTTTATAAGTATTAATAAACAGCCAATATGTCAGTAATATGCATGCTAAGCAACTAGTTAATATGAGAATCGGTTCCTCAACTAATGTGTTTCCAACGTATCTTAAAGGGGTCATATGATGCTGCTAAAAATAACATTATTTTGTGTATTTGGTGTAATGAAATGTGTTTATGCGGTTTAAGGTTCAAAAAACACATTATTTTCCACATACTGTACATTATTGTTTCTCCTCTGTGCCCCGCCTTTCTGAAACGCGTAGATTTTTACAAAGCTCATCGGTCTGAAAAAGCGAGGTGTGCTCTGATTGGCCAGCTATCCAGTGCGTTGCGATTGGCCGAATTCCTCAAGCGTGTGATGGAAATGTTACGCCCCCTTATCATATTGTGATGCCTGCAGCAACCACATGTGACGATCTCGGGCTTGACTCCGCTTCGTCCACGGTGAAAGCCGATCCGGCGATCCACAGCGCGAAGTTGAAGTATTTCCTCAGTGACCAGCACGGATCAGCTCCAGGCATGACGAAGCGATATCATCCTCTTTTGGAAGACCAAACAAAGTAGTTTCGCTTTTACAATGAAACACAGCGCCTTCACGACATGGCGGCAGCAACAATACTACAGCGAGAATAAAGGTTCCTTTCTTTGCATGAACATTTGGGCGGCGTTATGCAAATCTTCCCAGATAGTGACGTAGATATGTGGGGGCGTGTTAGAACGAGTCGTTTTAGGTAGGTGTGGTTGACTCTTAACTTTTATAAAGAATATCTCTTTGGATTTGAGACTTTAGTCTCTGCAACTTTACATATCTTCTTTATTCACCAAGAGCTTGTAACATTCCAAAGAGAAAGGAAAAATTGAAATCGCATCATATGACCCCTTTAATGTGCTCTACAGTCTCACAGTGCACAAATAAATGCATGTTTTTTGACTGAACCTGCTCAGGAAATGTCAATACTAAGATTTATTTTAAGGGTGGTCAAAATTTCAAACTTTAATTTAAAAAGAGGAACAGAAAAATACAGTCAGACACAGCTAAACATTCAAAAAGAGCAATATATGTATTTTTTAAAGTATGTATATTATTTTTAAAATGGTTCAACAAAAGCAAAACTCCAATTCTAAAGCTATTAGTATGTCAAGCCCACCCACAATGAGCAGGGCAGAGGACAAACCTCCCCTGTCCCACTGCCAGGTTTATTTTAGCTGCACATACAATTTACCTTGTGCATAATAAAATTGGCCTTATCGAGTCTGTTCCATTTGCCAAGGAAGTTATTCAAATTCTGTATTAACATACCGCCGCAAAGTGAAATTGATGGAACATGTCCAAATCTGTGCTTGACATCTACCAGTATATAGATCAACAGCCCAGTCAAAACAGGTTCCTTCATTAAACAGGTGATACAAAACTCCATCAGCGACTAATATTCACTGACAGTTGGATGAGATTGGATTTTTACATTAGTGTCAAAATTCATTCTCAACTTGCGGTGGAGAAAGTTCAATTTTAAGATTGGGCTACAGGGTTTTGGAGGTCAGACAAAAATAATATGAACTTCTACGTGTGTATATATAAATAAATAAAAATAAAAAATCAAACTTGCAGGAGTTCAGAACAGGAAGATCTGGATAAGAACCATTCTTCTTGTTTAACAGCTTAACAAATCCAATGATTTAAAGTGATGTAATTCCTGCCAACAAATGCATTGCTCTATTTGAGGCAGACTACCCGTATATTCTCATAGGCAAGACACATTAATATCACAAATGAGATCTCTTTAATATCTTGAATGGTTGTTCTATACAGAAACCAGATTGACTGGAGAGCAAACAGAGACCTTCTCAGATTTGTGTCCTAAAAATGACCACAGTAATTTGACAGATGTCTCCTCAAGAGTTACAGAAGAGATCTCAAACTATGCTCATATTTGCCAGGATCCCAAAATCTGCAATGAGAGCTCTAAATGGGTCCCCGGCTCAAATATTTGATTTTGCTAATATTTTTTCTGAAGAAAGACAGAAATGTAGACTGTAGTGATGAAAGCCAAAATATTAAATGTCATGGATGAAGCTTTACAGAGTAATCCACTATTTTGTAGAGAGGGCGATTTTCACCTGAGATTCAGAGCCAAATTACAAAGGGGTAAAACACATCCTTACAAAGTCTATTATTAAGATATTGTTTTAGACAATGTATCAATTAATTAATACTACTATATGAAGCATATGCTATATAATATTTTGTCATTATGTATTCACCCTCATGCGTTCTAAACGTGTAAGACTTTATGAAATACAAAAGTAGATTTTTTTTTACTCTATACAAACAGGCATTTCACAGTGATCCAAAAAAAGCTGTTCACAATTATTTCACTGACATCATTGGCATCCCACAAAACACACTTTTTAGAATAATGAAATAACATCAAAATATAGTTTTAAATGCTATACATTAAAACAGGAATTATGGCCTTATAATGAACAGTATAAATACAGTACAATTATAGTACTGTATAAATACAGTATAAGTAGAGAAAAATGTTTATTGATTTTGAGACATGAGTTTTGAGACATGTTTTATTAAATTAAAAATGAATTTAAGGATTAACTTTAAGTAAGCATTAAATGATGGCAAGGCAATTGAAATGCAAAATTATGAAAGAAAATATGTAAAATGAGCACGGCCAATTTAAAAATATCATTCACTAATGAATAATAATAATACAACTATAATATTGGTTGTTAACTAACATGATACCAATATAATTTCTGCTCAACTACTGACACTAGACAGGTTTCCCAAGTATTCCCCTTGTCTCTTATGGTTGATCAAACATATAGTCCTGTTGGTTGAATCACTGTTGCTGCTATGTGTCACACCCCTGTGGACTGTCTATTGTGGTTTATCCCTCTGTGTCCTTATTTGGTTGTTCCTGTTCTCATTATTAGTTAATCTCCTCATTGTGCTCACCTGTCTGCCCCTCTTTATCTGCCCTATATCTATTCCTGTCTCTTGTACTCGTGTTTGTCAGTTATTGTGAATGTTACCCTGTGCGTGTGCCTACCCTGTTTTGGATGTTACCATGTTGTGGATTGATTAAAGTGTTCTTATATCCTTCATCTTCGTCGTCCTGCCTGTTCTCTAGCACAGCATAACCGTGACACTATGTTGGGCTGGTTTGATAGCAACAAAGTTTTTACATCAACCTAGGAATGCCTATGAATGAAGACAATATTTCCACAAAACTAAATAAATAATAAACTATAAATAAATACAAATAAAAAAATACTCACTTCAACTTTAAATTGACACTTTCATCACTTGGAAAAAGTAAAGAAAATAAAAAAGGAACAATATGGATTTCACAGCCAGGGTCAAGCACTGACTCAAAAGCTACCAAATAAATAACTAAATGAAAAATCTTATATAAAAACCACCAATCGATAGTGTGAAATGACCGTCCAGCTCTCCCCAGATGAAGGCATGTGATGGGCAGAGAAACTGTGTGAAAGGCTGTCCTGTGGCCTCTTAAATTGGACAGGGAGAACATTTTCACCAACACCTGATCACAGCTCGGCAAGCTATTATTAAAAAGCATCCTGCACTAACTAGATTTCCTTGCACTGGATCATAGCAGTGACAAGGCTGCTGTCAGTCAGGGAGTGGAGATGATGACCCTGTCTGGACTACATAACCTTTTGAAAACAACCAGACCATAACAGTCCCAAACAAACTTGATTTAATTTAATTTACTGAAAGCGCTGGCATTATCCATGCTGTAGCGCCAGTATAACACAGACTAGGCAATAAACAATAGCTTTACATTACATTTATGCATGTGGCAGAGGCTTTTATCCAAAGCGAAGTGATAATGTCTTCAAGCTATACACCCATAAGTAAAAGAGTCTGAGGCTCAAGGCCCAAATGCATCAGTGTGCAGAGTTTGTCATGTTTAATGTTTATATTGAGATGGCCATAATGTGAATAAAGACTTTTTAACTTTTTTTTGGACCAGAAGAAGTGCCTCGGATTTCTTTTATTGTAGTAGTTGGAAACTTCTTTGCGTCTGGTAAATAGTGTTGGGGGTAATGAATTACAAGTAATGCGAGTAATGTAAATTTACGCATTGCTTTTAAATTGACAAGAAATCAGAGTTACTTTTCCAAATAAGTAACACAAGATATCCCCCGCCCCCATTTATTCACTGACTTGTCTCCTGTCCTCGTGTTGAGAGAAACTGGGAGTGAGGTGCAGAGGAACTTCCTTCAGCCGAAGGCTTATTAATTTAACTTTTTGTGTCAAAGGGCCTTTACAGTTGCCAAAAATATAACTTTTCAGTTTTTGTTATTAAACAACAAACAAGCAAGCCCAGTCCAGGTGACAAAAAGTAATACAAACTAATGTAATGCATTACTTTCCATAAAGTGTAACTAAGTAACACAATTAGGCCTAGTTACTTTTTAATAGAGTAACGCAATACTGTAATGCATTACTTTTAAAAGTAACTTTCCCCAACACTGCTGGTAAAGATGTGTAAGGGGCATCTTCATAACCTTTCACCAGTCTGCAATCAGGAAAACCTAGAGACAGACAATGCGCAATCAAAATCATTTACTTCTCCTTGCTATTGTACAGGTCAACAGCTTCTGCAAGACAATTAATAACTACACCCTGACCCGCTGATTGTTCAAGATTATATGGTAAGGAGGACATCATCTACACTTTTAAGCACTGAATCCATCTCCATTGCAGACAAAATATGTAGAGGTAGGCTATGTCTGGGGGTGGATGAACAAGAACCAGCTAAACTATGAAACGACCTCCACCCTCATTTTTCTGCTGGACATAATTAGACTCCTAATCAAATTTCACTCATACAGTGGAGGACAAGATGACCGGGCCCTCGGCCTCCAACTGAAAGAGCCTTCTCAGTATTCAATGCACATAACGATCAGCCCGAAGCTGAGGTGGGCTGAAAATACTTTTTTTTTTACAGACTTCAGCACAATTACTTTCAGTTAAACAGGTAGGAACTTCCCTGCATCGTGGCCACAAACAGCATAGAAAATTAATGATGGAATAAGACACAATGACAACGAATACATCACAGGAATCCCTGCCTATTAAAGCTCCAATGTTTTGAAGTTTTTACACTGCCGGAGAGCACAGTAGCGATAGGCCAACAATCCCTGCAGTCTTCAAAGAAACCTATTCTCAATGAAGTCTAATTAAAGTTTTAGAGCTCTGCGCATCTTCGGCGGCATGCAGGGGATGCGTGTGGGTTATTTGTGTTTCGTCATATCTGCAGTGTGGACTAGACTGTGAACTGAGAATGAAAGATGTCCTGACATTTTTTTTTTTACTTTTTGTCGATGGTGCAGCCAGGAATCTCTGTGGGAGATGATTTTCCCCGAGGAGTTGGATAGATGCCTCAGGCAAGGTCTCTGAGGAAGAGTGATAGTACCTACAGGCACACAGTTTCCGTTCAATAGACGCCTCTTTCCTGGCATTTTTACCAAAGTGGGAAGATTAAGCATTTTTTTTCATGTCCCTGTCTCTCTCCCTTAGTCCTGCATAGGGACTGAGGTCAAATTCCTCAGCCGTTTATGGATGAGTTTAACTCGATTTATGGGAAGATCATGACATTCAGGTTGTTTTCTCCTCCGGCTCAGTTCAACAATTCTGTCAGCGGCTGCACCACTGAAATTCAGTATGGAGTTTTTATAACCTACACATTTTTTACACGTGTTATTACACACAAAGTGCTCATGTAGCGAATTCAAGGAATGACGGTACATTTAAAAAAAGTAACGATACCAGCCTTTCTGGTAGTACTGAGTACCGGGTTGTTCCAGTACCCACTAATCGGTGACTGCTTTCAAACGAGTGCTCTGTGAAGATCGTCAAAGGTTTCTATGTACAATCTGTTTTTGCAGTGCTGAGCATTTTAACCAATCACAGTGTGTGACTGCGTGCTTGCAACAGCCAGGCGTTTAAGCCAGAGTTAGTTCAGCGTGAGATCTTGCACACTTACGAATAGTTAGGCTATAACCAACAAAGTACAACTTGCGCTGTAGGTGAAGCGAAGTGAACCGAGCAGCTTAATTGATTATAAAGAAAGCACTTTTTGCTCAGCTTCTGTACATTATTCTGCTTGCTTTCTGTATATAACCCATTAATAATTTGATCAATATTAATAAAGGTTTCATGGTGATAAGTGCACACTGCAACGTTTCGGGAGTGACAACTGTATTAAAATGCGGGACATAATCTGAAATTGCAATGTTGGCACTTGTTCTGTTCACCTGTGATGCATTTCTTGCATAAAAAGATCCAATTCAATTATTAAAATAATAATGTTTACACAACTTAATATTTGAAGGTTACATGCTAATGTTTTACCATATTATTTACTTTTATTAATAGCACTACTAATTAATAGGGGTGAGGGAACAAATCAATACAGTATAGTATTGCGATATTTTCCGCGGCAATACTGTATCGATACACGGACGGCAAGTATCGATCTTTTATTATACTATTTGGTAGAATAATAAAAAGCATTGTTCACAATACCTGTAGTAGCACAGCAGTGCATACCTGTTTACATTTAATTAAGGTTGACAAGACTAGACTGTAATACAAATAATTGAGTTCTCCAGGTGCATACAACATTTATGACAGGTTTTCATGAATGTATTGGTCAGTTTGTCTGCTTGACAATCCCATTTTCCACTGCAGCAATACAATTGAAGTGAGATAAACAAACTGAGAAATGTTTCTTTGTAGTTAAAACAGACGCTTCCAAAGTTTTCCTTTGGGGACATAATTTGAATTTGGAAAAAGGTAATAAATTACAATATATCGCAGAATATCGCAATATATTTAAAATGGCAATAATATTGTATTGTGACACAAGTATCGTGATAATATGGTATTGTGAGGCCTCTGGTGATTCCCACCCCTACTAATTAACACATTTTAATATTTTTTAATCTAAAAATAGTTAAACAAAACAAAAAAAGTATTAAAATAAAATAGTTACAATAGTTTTTGGTTCGAAAATTGAGACCGAGAACTGTGGCATTTTACTGGTATTGGTACTGAATTAATATTAATTATACTATTATCGTGGCCTAATGGTTAGAGAGTCAGACTCGTAGCCCAAAGGTTGCGGGTTCGAGTCTCGTACCGGCAGGGATTGTAGGTGGGGGGAGTGAATGTACAGTGCTCTCTCCCACCTTCAATACCACGACTGAGGTGCCCTTGAGCAAGGCACTGAGCCCCCAACTGCTCCCCGGGTGCCGCAGGAAAAAAATGGCTGCCCACTGCTCCGGGTGTGTGTTCACGGTGTGTGTGTGTGTGTTCACTGCTGTGTGTGTGCACTTTGGATGGGAAAAATTCCGAGTATGGGTCACCATACTTGGCCACATTTAAAAAAAAATAAATTTAAATTAGTACAGTAGATGTCATTGTATCTTCATTACAAGCCTTTGGATTTCTCTTTTGCCTTGCATTGTGAATGAGCAACTTTCTGCCCACTGCTCCGGGTGTGTGTTCACGGTGTGTGTGTGTGTTCACTGCTGTGTGTGTGCACTTTGGATGGGAAAAATTCCGAGTATGGGTCACCATACTTGGCCACATTTAAAAAAAATGTTTTTAAATTAGTACAGTAGATGTCATTGTATCTTCATTACAAGCCTTTGGATTTCTCTTTTGCCTTGCTTTGTGAATGAGCAACTTTTTTTTTCTCCACTAAGTCAAGTACCTTTTTTTTAAACCAGCAAAACACTTGACCAACTAAATTACCTTACTCTCTTGTCTGGCCAATTAAAACCATTAAGAGTGTCTAATGATCACACTTACACCTTGATTTCATCCAATATCAACAACTGTAATAAACCGACAAGCCCTCGCACTTGACCTTGGGGCTATTTATGTAAAAGTAATTTCATTAAGAATAAATGCACTTAAGTATGACCACTTAAACAAAGTATGTTTGCATGCATGCAAAAAAAATAAAAAGCCTGTTTATCGTATGTTGTTTAGCAACATCAACAGCAAAAGCATGTTTTAAACTGCAGATGTAAGTCATACTGCCATATTCAGAGTGTCAATGATCCTTTGTGGTCTGGCATTAGATTTTTCCAATATGTATGGAAGGCACAAATATTCTAGTGCCTTCATATATTCAGGAATATTCAGTGTTCCCGTGGCTGGCTTGAAAGTATGAGTAATGATGGCTGGACGCTATTAGCTTGTAATTGTGCAGCTTGGGCTGTAACTCACTCTCATCTTTTATGGGAAGTGTAATCAAATGGTCACTATCGCCACAATAAATCACACACTCTCCTCATCGCTTTCCGCTCATTTTCATTTCATAACTGCAGCTGCTCTCTGCAGTCAGTGATGCATTGAAAAAGACTAACACAACAAGTGAAATTAAAACATTAAAAAAAGATTAAAAAGAAGTAAAATCGCTATTCACTTGACAAATTAATATATGTTGCATCAGATGAAATATTGTAATAAAATTCAGCTCAAATGCTAAAAAAGTTTTTTCCACTTATTTTGGCTTCTTTAAGCTTTTTCCAATCATTCATCATAGCCACATAGTAGAACCACAGGCTTATAGATAGATAGAGAGAGAGAGAGATACCTGATGCCAATGAAAAAGGCAGAAGAGCATATTTTACTAAAACGATAGGCTAATTTCTGAACTGAACAAGTAATGTTCAGGAAATTTGGCACATCTTTCTGTGAGACTTAATAATATTAGCACGGCTTGGCCAGTCGATGTTCATATATCAATGATAAATCTAAAAAAGGCTCTAACAATGGTACTCTTAGTATAATTTACTTGAAATTTTGCACACATAAATACATAAACCAATCCAGCCATTATATAAGGTTAACACTGGCTGATTTCTGGGTCTATTTAAACTGATAGTTCACCAAAAAATGAAAAACAGTCATTATTTACTCAACCTCATGTAATTCCAAACCCGTAAAATATTTGATTTTGTGTTCCACTGAATAAAGAAAGTCATATGGGTTTAAAACAACATGAGGGGCGTAAATACAGACAGAATTTAAATTTTTGGACCAACTGTCTCTTAAAGGTCCGACTCTGGAAAATCTAATTGTATGCAATTTATACAGAAGGTAGCACTATAAAATAGGATCCTTCATGATTTTATGCAATACATTTGATTATTGTGCATGAGTTACTAACACATTCCTGTCAAAAAATAACAATTATTGATTTAAAAATGAATAACAATTGTATGAGCTGATAGGCTAAAGAGGTCATTGTGCTTAGACCCCCAAAATAGCAATGTGAAGATTATTTTAAAGCTCTTTTTGTGGTCCTGATTTACTCGGGTTCAGCCAGAGCATGTTTTCTTTATCAAATCTGCCTTTATGGGGTAACGGATGTGTGATGGGGGCCAGCTTACTGTAGCATTACCGGAGCCGCTCTGTGTTTTGCGCTCTGATTGGGGCCAATAAGGCAGCGCCTGTTCAAGGATGAGGACAACCTGTCCTCTGGCACTGGGTCCTCTTTCCTGGGTGTAATTAGCTTTGATTTAAAGATGGAACACAGACCTATTATTTAACATAACTGCTGCTAATGGTGGCAAATTGTACTAATAATCTCATGGTGAAGTTTATGGAGGTCAGGAGAGGCAGCAGCAGGAAACGGATGTCAGAAAGTGCTGCTTCACTCTCAGAAGACAGACACTGGCACACACACTAGAAGATTTCTGAAACTGAGCATAATGTCAAACACAAAATGAAAAAGATCAGCACCGGTGGGACGGAAATGAAGGGCTGATGACAAATGAGTTATAGACACATAAGACTACAGAACTGCACCCAAAGAATATTGAGACACTGAGAATTATTATTCCTATTTTTGTCTTTCTTCTCTGCATTACATTTTATGTTGTGTGTGTGTTCCTTTTTTTTTCCAGAGAGAAATTGGGTTTAAAATAAGATACTACGCATGAAGCCATTACTGGCACAATAATGGAGGACAATTCGCTGAGCTATCTGGGATGCCATTCAGCAGCCTTGATTGAGCACCGCTCTAAAGACACAGGTGTGATTGCCTCAATAGCACATTACCACCAGAAAAACTCACAGACAATTTTTATTTATTTTTTTTCAACCAACCACTGAAAGTTTGACAGCCCAAGATCACAATGACCTTTCATTTTATCCAATAGTGGGGCATGTTGTCACAATGCAACCTGTCTAAATCAACTGATTATAACAATTATCGTATTTAAATTGAACTGTTTGACAACGTCCCCTGAAACTCATGATAAAATAGGACAGATTGTCAAATCTGAATCCTTAAACTATTGGCCAGTGATAGGCTTACATTGCATATGTTGACCTTTAAAAACACTTTTTGTCTATTCACTTAATTTTGAGTTTTCTCAACATATAGCCTATTGAAATTATTTGCTTGACTAGCAATTTACATTTTTTTTTAATATTTAGACATTACTCTAAAATTCGTACATGTCAAACCATGGTACCATTCAAAAGTTTGGATTCAATAAGATTTTTAAATGTTTTTATAACAATTCTCTCATTAAACATGTATTTATTTGATATAAATAAATACAATAATAATAACAATTTACTTAACTTAAGCAATTTACTTACTAAGACTTTGTGCATAATGAATTATAAAATTAGTTTTAACGTATTAATTATCCCTTGTAATTCACTTTATAATGCATTGTACAATCTCATAAATAAAATAAGTCATAATTATTTACAACAAGATATAATGTATTACAATGCACATTATGAGTAATTATAATGCATTATACCATTTAATAACCATTTGTAATACATTATACATAAAGGCTTTAAGTAAAGGGTTACCAAAATATTATTATTACAATAATATTGAAAAATGTATTTATTCCTGTGATGCAAAGCTACATTTTCAGCATTACTTCAGTCTTCAGTGTCGCATGATCCTTCGGAAATCATTCTTATTCACCAATTTGGTGCTCAAGAAAGTTTTCTTCTTATTTGTGGAAACCGTAATACATTTGTTTTTTGCTTTTTTTTATGGATGTTTTGATGTATAAAAAGTTCCAAATAACAGCATTTATTTGAAATAGAAATCTTTTTGTAACAATTTAAAAGTGTTTATTATCAGCTTTTGATCAAATTAATGTATTGTTGCTGAATAGAGGTATGCATTTCATCACAGACAGACAGACACAGACAGACAAATAGATAGATGAATAGACAGATAGGCAGACACTACTAAAGCATAACATTATATTATTGCAAATAGCTGCAGGGACAATTCTTCGTGGTCTGGTTAAGTAGTTTTCTTATTGTTCTGAAGTAATGTAGCGACACATGCTAAACCAGAGGCCTCGCTGGTGTAATAGAATCTAAATGTAATGTGTGGGTCTTGACTCTTTTGTGGAATGTGATATTGTGGTATGCTTTCAGGCTATGCTAACAAGGACCTCTAGAACTCGATATGCCTAGTTTAGTCCCCGAGTGAGCAGTTTATGTCCCATAGCAACAGTGTCATACTTCATGGGTGTGAGTGTGTGGGTGTGCGTGTCGAGCGCTGGATATGAACCTGATGTTCTTTGATTTGCAGACAATAGCTGCTCGCTAAAAAGCAATGGAAATTACAATGCTAATAAAATCAATATTATGCAGTTATTTACTCTTGAATATCCATTGCATAGCTAAGGTAAATTTTTACAGTGGCATGAATTGCTTGCAATGTGTTGGCATCATTTGAGACACACAGAACACTACACATTTTGAAAATGATGACACACCTAGAGAAGTGTACTAATGATACACTAACATTGTCGTTTAGGAAAGGCCACCTCATTACTAAAGTATATTCTTTCACAGACCTCTATCTCATTTAATTATCATTAGGGCACTGGAAGACCTGTACACCTTACCGTTAAGTTAATTATGATTAATAATCCTGCCAAGCGAGGCATACTGCCAAAGTCAGTCATGGATGTCTGCCAAAACCAGTGCAGGACTGGTTAATAAGGATGTCCTACAACTACTCATTTCAGATAAAGTCAAACATAATAGGCAAAGTAAATCTCTACCAAGTCCTTGCATGTTCAGCGTCTCTGCAACAAACCAGAGGTCTATTGATTATACAATATGCAACATTTTTCAGGTGTATCTTTACTGTATGTATGGACGATAATAAAAAAAAAGAGTGCACAAACTAATCTGAAATGGTACATGATGTGCTCCAAACCATCATATCTTCAATAATCCTGTTGTATAATTACAAAAAGTCCATTGGAATAAATGTTAATAACTGTACTGTGTATGTTTTTT